GGAAGAGAAAAACTAGATGAATTTCTGCAATTTGTAAACAAGATTGATGCAAAAATTCAATTCACAATGGGAGTAGAGGAAGGCGAGTGGTTACCGTCCCTGGACGTTGAAGTAATTCGTTCTAATGGAATGCTGAAAAAGAAATTGTTCAGAAAGAAGTCCTATGCTGGGATAATACTCAATTTCTGGTCCCATCACAATTGCAGGCTAAAGATTGGAATAATGAGAAGCATGATCATCAGAAGCCTACGCTCACGGATGCAGATTTCTGGCACGAACTGGACAAATTGACTAGGATCTTCCTCGGTAATGGCTACCCAAGCGAAGTGATGCAAAGAAACATACGGGCCGTGAAAAACCCGATGCAGAACGGGGAATATGAAAGAACAGTAAGGACGATTAAAGTTTCACAAAGTGGATATGCTTGCCTTCCTGCGAACTAACTCAAAAATTACGGCCAGTATTGAGTAAATGGAATATTTAGGCGTTTATGAAGGAGAAATTAACACTTTTCACAAGTCTACCAAAGCAACATGAATGGGTAGACACATTGGACTGTTCAGGAGTTTACTGTATATCATGCAGCCACTGCGGACATAAATATATTGGTGAAACAGGGAGAAAAATTAGCACACGAATCAAGGAACATCTGAGGCTCTGGAGGAAAATAGATACTAAAAGATCAGAACTAGCGGAACACATCGCACGGACTGGACACGAGATCAATTGGAAAGCAAAAAGGAAATGTCCATACGGTGACAACACAAGGAAGCGGAAGATTAGGGAGGCCATTGACATCGTTGGGGATACAAATCTAATGAACAGGAGATTGGAGGAAGGAAGAGTTAGCGATAACTTTGCCTACTGCCTAAGCAAAATCGAGGAAAACAAGAACAAGACCCGCAAAAAGGATACGCCTGCAGCAGGGATCTGCCGCTAACTGGAGGAAAAGGGATTGCGATGACGCAAGTGTAGGGCAGGGGTATTTGGCAATAATTTGAAGACGTTGTCAGTGACAGATGATCATTTAAATAAACCAGTACAATTTTGGGGGCCTGGCAGTTAAGGAGCTGGGCGGACGGATACGCACACTGTCATAGAAATTAAGGGTTCTGGCCAAAATGCACTAGAAATCCAATTGAGATGCCGCATGAGACCAGAGATAGGCGTCCACAGTTTGCTCAGATAACATGTGTTTAATCCATGACACGACCAGTATAGTGAAGGCATGGGAATCTGAGTTTAAGTGCTCCGCTCAGTGAAGCGGCAGTGTATGTGTTTATAGGACCTTGAGAAATAGCGCCAGGAGTGAAATGCACACAGGGACTGGACCCGAGTGAAATCGGTCAACCAGAAAGATAGGGAACGGATCTACGAGACAATGAAAGGATCCGGATTGGAGGCCCGAATGGGATAAGCCCATGGAAAGAGAGAGGTCGGGGTAAATAACAAGTGGGATGAGGCCACACTCGGTTTGCCACAAAAGGGAACACATTTTGATGATTGTAATGTAAACAAGTGAGAAGTTGTGATAGGGCAGCAGGGGGATAAGAGGGTAAAGAATAGATAGATAGACAATGACAGAAAGAGGAATGATAGTGTAACCGTTTCCGGCAGAACGGTTGTCGAGGGATTGACTTCACTTGTCTCTTTGATGAGTTCGTATCTTGGTGCGGAGAATGGCATAGCTCACTGATGATTCCGACTACGATGCCGGCGAAACATTTGAGAATTTATCAAGTCCACGGTCAGATGCTGGGAATCAAGACAACTACTATGGCAGACGACTTAGGACTAGGTACGTTCTACAGTCTCCCTGACCACAAGATCAAGTTACGACAACGAGGTCAACCCACTTCTATAAAGGCAATAGTTTTTATGAAAACGGACTTCAATAAGTAGAAAAAGGGTAGGAATGAATGGATTTATCCCTAGCAGATTCAGCATTCCTTTGAGATAAAGTTATAAAGAGTATTGATGAATCATAGAGTAAGAATGTGGTGAGGGATCTAAAATGTATTGCATATACATAATTTATTTGCATCTACGCACCAGAATAGGCGTCAATATTGCAGAAGGAAACTAAATGTGATTGAGGACAAAAAGCTGCTTGTTTGTATCTGCATCAACTTCATATAAGATTCATTAATCCCCTGCATATAGGATGAGAGTGGGGAAATAAAATCAAGGAATGAAGAAAAGCTGGGTTTCAAAGAAACCCTGAATATATTGATGTAGGCACATCTTTCATTTCGTTTGAAGAGACGAGTGAAAGGGATTCAAAAGTTAGTCTCATCGGAATCCGAAAGAGGATTACTTTAGATTTGCGACTAGATTTGTGCGAACAAGTCTTCATCTCACCTCTCCGCAACCACGATGAATCTTTTTTGAGCAAACATTAGTCATGTGAAGGACATCATCAGAGGACACCATGCGTTAGAATAATTCACCAGGTACGAATAAAAGAAAGGTGTCCGGCTGCAATCTTTACTACATATCGTCTAACTGTCCACTTAATAAGACTTTAATTGATTCAAGACGAAGGATGCTAAACTGTGTAATTGATTGGGAAACAATTTCTCAGTAGATACGTGCAAAATACTGACGGCACGCTATCGTTAAGCGCCTGTTTAGATGGTAAAATTGTTTTTAAAGTAAATCTTAAAGCGAAATTAAAATGAGGCAATAATAATACCATTACAAGCAAATAACGAACCTGGTTCCTCATCTATTTTCGTCATACCGATATGAGCTGACTTCCGTCCAGACACATGCTTTCCTAACCGGCCAGAAATTTGCTTCGTAGCCGTACTGAGTGTCTTATTTAAATGTTCATACATGGAACCAACGCTTTCACTGGTAGACTGAGCCCTGGCTGATTTTCCCGTTATGGTCCGATCATGCTCGTCCTGATCTACTTGTTTAATTGACTGATTCGTGTTACCAGCAACACGAGGCTGACCTACTACTCTGCTGAACTCATCTAAATCCCCTTCACAGAAAGTGAATTCGGTCTCTTCAGCATCATCTGCATCGTCCGCATCCGCATCAACCTCCATATCATTTTCTTCATCAACATCAGTAGAGCCGGTGGCTCCGGCTGTCGCCACTGCCTCCGGACCAGATTCGAGCAGGGGGCCAAGACCAAGACTGGAGGCTAGACGCGCCAACCGAGCCCTGCATTGTGCCTCAAGTTGACTAATGAGACGTTGAGCACGAGCCAGACTAGTGATTCGTGCAGCTGGCAGACGAAGAGTAGTCATAGTCTCCGAGAAGGTCTGCTCAATATCTACAGGGAAGCGCTGCTGACAGGGCATAAAAAGTGTGATTATATTGGCCGCAAAAGGGGCTTCTATTGCAGGAGGAATGTCACTATTATTAATAGGCATTTGACAATCTTTAGTTTGTGAGAAGAGCCGATTTTCGCCGTTATCTGGTGGTGGGCTACTATCCAAGGTAACATTGGTTGGGCCTCCGCTGATTTCGGTGGTGGTTGATGAAGTCTTCTTTTGATCTTTACTAGGCTCCAGAGGTATCCACATAGGGTATTCACGCTTGAACCAGTAATAACGCTGTGCAAGCAAAAAAGAGTTTTGGTGAAAATATTAATAAAGTGAATCAAACCACATCATTTAAAAAATAAGCTAACGCAGACGTTGCTCAAAAATCATTGCTCTAATCTCTTGTAATCGATAAAAGCAAGCTTAACTGTCCCTCATTTGATGATAGCAAAGAAAATTTCCATGGTAATTCAATCAAGTTTGTATAACCTCTAATTTAGTTAGTCTCCTTTCGCTGTATATAAGTGATTTGTCTTTGTTTTTGTAATTTGTCCGCATCATTAATAGGGCCTTGGTGAATACACTTTGTTCATTTGTCATAGCAAACATAACAATATTTATGCTAGGAACGTGGCCCTGGTACATTTCAACACGCTTCTCTCGCATCGTCAATGAGTCTTGCCTACCTTAGCTCCAAGCTATAATGCGCCAGATACAAGTGAAATGGATCCCTTGACGAACTTTCTGCTGAAAGGTTGTGATATCTCTCTTGTTATGATACATCCATCTACCTTCCATCCTAGTACTTCACTCCTCCATCACCTGTCATTACTAGACTACTCCAGAGATGTGATCTTTCAAGCAGGTTTACTAAAGCGCTATCACACATCCAGATGATTCCCTTAACCTTGGCCAGAAAAACAGAAGCGACTTTCTATGTTTAAACTACCCTATTCAACTCCTAGAAAAATCCTCCTCCTGTCATCAAAGATGCCTTTGTTATTTTACTGATTGACTGAATTCATTGTAATTATTTTACTCAACGCGTTATTTTCCATGATCTGCCATAAGTATTTGATAACACTTATGCTGTGGCCTCGCAGATCAGAGCTTCGAGGCCGTGATTCCCAAGCATAAGAATATCTCGTAAATATGAAGACCAAGAAGATGTTGCCCTCTGTTTGATTGGAATCTCCTTTGGCTGTAGTGTTGAGTTGACCTCGTTTTCGCAATTGTAGAACATTGTAGAACGTCCCTAGTCCTGCGTCCTCTGCCATAGTATTCATAATTTCCATCTGCAACCAACTGGCTTTGGTCTACTATTTATATGACATTTTGACGATTCGAATAATTATTTCCTTGAGCATAAGATGGCCATAAGTTGTAGCTTTCTCGGATGGGCTACACTAACCGATTGGGCCACACCTGCATCTTCCTTGCGATGCCTTTTCCTATGATTT